TTTCTGAACATTTTATTATACGCAGACTGATAATTTTGGTGAACTTTTTCTTGATATGGAATCAAAAAGTGTTTCGCTCTTAGGTCTGAGGTGTTTGAGGGCTTGAGCTTCCCATATGTAAAGGAATTGAGGAAAGCATTGGATGAATATCCTGACTGGTATCTCTTTATCAAGTGAAGCAATTCGGGAAACAGAAATCTTCTGGGGCTGGCCAAAGTGGGAATTTAGAACTTTTGCTGCCTTCTCTTCCAAGTTAAAGATGCATTCCTACCAAGCAGCCTTTCCTAGTAAGTCTAACACTGTATGTAAGTAGAAAGACTAAATTTCTCAACTGTAGATTTTTATATACCATGACTAATATACTTCTGTCTGACTGTTGTTAGTGTCCTGAGGTGGTCTTGGTAAGCTTAGTGGTGTCAGGACACCTTTAACGTGAGACCACAGGGTGTAATTAATTTGTTTGCTTGATTGCACGGAAGATGGACTTAAGTATAATGACTAGTTAGAAAATAATGCTCTCCAGTGGAAGATACAAGTGTGAATTGAGGAAAACAAATATGAATTTACGTCTGTAACGGTCTAAACGTTTTAGATGTGAACTTTGTTGGTGCTATTTTTTTCAGAATTGTTTTGGTTGGACAATGCACATATCGATAATCACAGAATCATAGAATGTGTTGGGATGGAAGAGACTTTTAAAGGTCATCTAGTCCAACCCCCCTGCAGTGAGCAGGGACATCTTTACCTAGATCAGGTTGCTCAGAGCCCCATCAAGCCTGACCTGGAATGTCTGCAGGGATGGGACCTCCACCAGCTCTCTGTGCCTGCGCGTTAATGTAGCTTCTGTATGTAGTGAATTGTAAAATCAAATGCCCTAAAAACCAACTCTGGGTGCTGAGAGTCACGTTTGCAGGATTTTAAGTCTTTGTTCATCACCTTCAGCTGCAGTTACGGTTGTGAAGCCCCATTACACACCTGCATTTTTGTTTGTGGTTTCAGAGTTTTGAGGCTTTTATTAATATTCATCCTAAAAAAAAAAAAAATACAAGTTGGATGGTTGAATTTACTACCATGGTTGAATTTACTACAGCTGTGAAAGGACACTTAAGGTAACTTCTCAGCAGTACCCAGTGACAGGACAAGAAGCAGGGAGAGCAAACTGAAACACGAGAAATTCCATTTTTTCACTGGGAGGGGTGACCAAACATTGAAACAAATTGCTCAGGGAGGCTGTGGGGCATCAGTCTGCGGAGATATTCAAAACCAGGTGGGATGTGGACCTGGACAACAACTCCCTTAAGCAGGGAGTTGAAGTAAATGATCCCGAGAGGCCCTTCCAACTTCTGCAGCACCTTGTGAGAAAGGGCAAACTCGATCATTCTGTGCTTAATGTAGTTTGATTTTTTTTTAAAAAAACTATCAATTGCAGAAATGGCCAAAGAGTTAGCTATTATTTTACACTAATTTTAACTTTTTTTTTAACTTCTAATAAACTTTTATCTGTCTTATTGAGGCTTATCTAGAAAAAAATAGATGTTAATTATGGATTTCATAGCTTTGATTAAAAAATAAAATCCCTCCCGTGGATAGTATATTTTTTTCCCCCTGTTTATTGGTGAAATTTAACCTGTTGTTTTCTGTATTATCACCATATGGGGGCACGCAGCGGGGGCTTGGATGGGAGCTTACAGGGAACTTTCCGAAATGATGGCTAAATGCAGGCTTCAGGCACAGAATTAATCTTAGTAAAAGGATTTCGTAATCAATCTTTTTCAAATCATGGGATATCAAATGAAGAAATATCTAAAGAAATGACGCTTTTCTCCACTGGATGGTGCTGCTTGTCCAGAATTGCTTTGCTGTCTCCAGCAGCACTTTTTGAGCAGCCCAGAAGGTTGGTAGAAACTTCTGAGCTGAGTTTTTTGACTGGAAAATAGTACATTGTTCACTGGCATATTAAGAGTGAGAAAGGAAACAAATATTTTTGATAAAGTATTCACATTTTTTGTTTGGGGAGAGGAGGTGATTTTTATAGTTGCTGTATGTGGCCTGAAGTTGTTCCTCACTTTCTTAAATACTTCTCCAGAGATACAAGCAAGTTTCTTTATTTTCCTGCATCTGCCTTACCATATTTAAGAATAAGAGCATGTTAAGCTGGCGGAAGTGTGAGGATTAATCTCATAGTGGAAGTCAAGAGGTTTGAACTACTTAGATTGGAAGTGCTGGGAAAATTTCGAGCTCGAAAAATCTTTGTATTTGGGTGCCCTTGCATTTTGTTACCAGCCTCCTGCTGGGAGTAGAACATCTTAGGGCTTCTCTACAGAAAGATATTCAGGAAAATTAATAGAAATTAACTTTTAAAGTGGATTAGTTGAACTACATCAAACAGCTCGATTTGGAATTTAAATTCACATATTGGGTTGACGTGGATTACCGCTGCTGTGTAGAAAAATCCTTGGATACATACGGTGGCTTTACAGCTGCAAGAATTGTGTTGAATTTAATATCTTGGGATTTTCAAAGTCGCCACCTGGGGAGCTAGTTACAGAGGGAGCATGACAGAAATCAGCCATGCTTAAAATGTTGTTATAGTTAGATTTAAAAAAAAAAAGGCACCAAACGGTTCGTTTTCGGTGACCGAGTGAGGGAAAGTTGATGTTAGTCAAGAGGTGTCAAACAAAGGGACAAATGAAGAACCGTGATTGGAAAGAAGGGCTGTTGCTCAGCAAACCCTCTGTTTAAACACTTCTTTTTATTGTCTTTTTATGGTGCTTTTCTCACTGTCAGCTACAGATGAAAGCAACAGCCAAGGTGCTCCCTGTTTTTACAGGACTTCGCTTTCGCTGCCAGCTTGTTAACTTTTTAGTTCGTTCCTCCTGCAAACCACTGGACACCTTCAGAGATCATTTGCTACTGGGCCGAGGGAAGGCGACAAACTACGTTAATCGTCCCACCTTCCTAGCTCCAGCTTTCAAACGCCGCAAAAAGAAAGAGAGAAGTGAGCCACGTTGCTAAGGGAGCCAGAGTTTTCGTTCTTGGTGGGGCAGCGGGGAATCCTAATTTGTTTGGGTGTTAAAAATCACGGTCCACAGCGTCTCTTTTCCCACTTCTGTTAGTGGCACAGGCAGGGCTTGTAGTAGATGCTTCCCTGAAGGGTCCCTGTTGGAAATAAGTTGTTTTCCTGTAGAGAAGCGAAACGATCGCTCCAGTGGAGACTGAAAGACGTGGGGCTGTTCAGCCTTGAAAGGAGACGGCTGAGAGGGGACCTTATTAACATATAGAAACATCTGAGGGGTGGGGATTAAGAGGAAGGGGACAATCTCTTCTCAGTGGTGCCTGGTGATAGGACAAGGAATAATGGGCTTAAGCTGTAACACAGGAAGTTCCACCTCAACATGGGGAAAAGTTTCTTGGCTGTGCAGTTGTTGGAGCCCTGGCCCAGGCTGCCCAGAGAGGGTGTGGAGTCTCCTGCTCTGGAGACTTTCCAACCCGCCTGGACACGTTCCTGTGTGGCTGCCCTGGGTGATCCTGCTCTGGCAGGGGGTGGCACTGGATGACCTTTTGAGATCCCTTCCAGCCCTGAACATTCTATGATTCTGTGTTTCTATAAGCAAAGGCTCTGTTGATTCCTCTCACAGCACTCAGTCATTTAACCTACCGTAAAATCTTTTTTATGGACTGTTTTGGTTTTTTTCTTTTTTTTTTGTTTTTTTTTTGTTTCTGATAGACTATTACATTTTATAGGGCTGCCACACAAGCAGGTCTTTTGAGCTTGAAAGCTTCAAAAGTATGTTAAAAAGCTGCATAGGTTCTTACAGTATTAGTTCTTCGAGAATGAAACAAACCCCAGCAAGAAATGAGAGGCTGAGGGAGCTGGTTTTTTTTAGCCTGAAGGAGACTCAAGGGGAATCTTCTCACTCTCTACAGCTCCCTGCAGGGAGGGTGCAGTCAGGGGGGGTCGGGCTCTTCTCCCGGGCACCCAGTGACAGAACGAGAGGGCCCGGCCTGAAACTGCCTCAGGGGAGGTTTGGGCTGGGTCTCAGGCAGCCCTTCCTCACGGAGAGGGTGCTCCGGCACTGGGATGCTCTGCCCAGGGCAGGGGGGG